GGGGACTTCTTTGCATAATCTAACTGTATTCGGTTTCTCGTACGGTCACTTCACGAATATTTTCCAACTTACCTTTACTGCAAGGTGAAAAATCGATTCATCTTAGCTTATCTAAGGATGCTTCCAGTTTCTAGAAAATCCACTCAAAACAAAAAATGAATTTTTCTTCTTGTAAGTGAAGATATTTTTTAAAGCAAGTAATTTTCCACTAAGATGATTATTAGCCCTACAGTCTTGCATGAACAAAATGAAAATTTTACTAATGAATTCGGACATAGACGGTTCTCTTATGTTCGATAAAAATCTGTTCGTCTGTCCTAATGGATTTGTTGAACTAAAGTCGATTTTTCTTTTTAGGGAGGCTAAACCTAAAATAATGCATTATGCCTCTCCTTTTGCATGAATGAACAAAATTTGATTTAGGAAAAAGGGGCCTTCATACTTTTTATTTTATTGAGATCCATTATAGTGGACGTCTGTAAGGGGACAATAGATGGTGAAAATGTTTTTGACCATCAAATGTCGATCTCACTTTTTGATGCCAGTAACTATGTAGCTTAGCAAGATTGATTCTAGGGGCTGAAATTAGCTAGAACAATTAAAAATATTTTCCAAGTTTTCAGACGTTTTTTTCAGTTTTACAATGTTTTGTTTCAATTTCATTTGAATTTATCCTTGTTGAGATGAATAAGCATACACAAGCTTGGTAAGATATAGCGTTTATCCTTATCAAGTAGTTTATTCAATGAAAATGATGGAAATTAATTAAGTGCACATTATTTGTATTTGTCTAGGCTCCCTATGGGGCAGCAAACTCATCAGCTTCTCCGTCGTTTCCACCTGCACTTTCAAACAATATGGAAAAGCCCAACTCATTTCCTGGAGTAATTTTTGTACAACCTGGCCAACCGATTAAACATTCTGTGTCTGAGGCACATCGGCCAGTCTTCTCGTCTCAATACTCTTCCAGCACTGCCAACGTAGAACATGACAATTATACTAAGCACCTGGTCATTGAAACGAATGCCAAGATGTATCAACGACTTGTTACGTTCAATCAGCTGCGCGCGTACTTAGCCTATCTTTGCGGACAGGAAATGGCGGTTACCTCGGCAACTGCTGCAGCAGCGGCATCAGTAATAACTGGACAAGGTGAAGGTGCAACGATTGCTACTGGACCAACTCGTGGCTTTGTTCCCCCACCACTAAACAACTTTACTGGTGGCTTGCGCTCAGGTCCTGGCGTGCTTCAGGCTAGCCACTGTGACATTGCAGTGATTCGTTGCCTGTTCCTCAACCACTGGAATGAACCAGGTGCCTTTTGGTGTTTGCGCTATATGTTACGTCGTCTGCTTGAGCTCTATATGGAGTTACAGCGCTCAACTACCGCTATCGAAATGGCTGGCTTCCGTCATCTTCTTGGCCCATCATTTAAAGATTGTCTTAATCGCGCTCATGTTAGTTTAGCCACGGATACATCTCTATCAAAAACAACAAATGCTGTCTTCGACAATTCAGAACCAACTTCATCTTTTCAAATTGAAAAACCATCCACAGGAGTCTTTGATGTTAGCTCGACTCAGAAGGCACATTCATCTAGATCATCATCACCCCCGATTTTCGGCATTTTACGCAGCCTCTCTATGCCACAGCTCTTTTCTACTCCATTTCCGCAAGTATTGGACGGGCAGACTAGTTCTACCAATGGGAAAAAAATGGATAAAGATTTCGAACTCGGTGTTAACGAACCACCTGCTTGGCCGAAGGTTGACAATAAAGACCTATCAGAGGTAGATAAATTCTGCACAGAGACAGGTAATGGATTTAACTAAATACTAAATTCAAAGCAAAAATATTTTGGTACCCAAATTAATGCACTAGGGCTTGGTAACTTCTTTAGGGTTGCAACATTTTGCTGGTCCTCATTATACATGAGCTTCTTGTGGTCACTAGATTTAATTGGGTAACACTTAGCAGAACCGCAATTTAACATTCAGACGGTTTTGGTATCAGTTTGTTGCTGTGACTTATTCTTCAGAAAAAGGGGCTTAGCCACATGAACGTGCCTGCACTTTATGTTGATATGTTAGACTCAAACTTTGGGCCTTTCTCAGATAAATTTAAGAAAAGGGATGAATTTGGGATTTAAAGCCCTTAAAACTTTAAAACTGGATATTTATTGCAAAAAAGTCTCGTTAAAATAAGTTATAATACCCTACTAAAATCTTCTGCAGGCTTCTCATTTTAGAACATGGTTCATAGTGGAGCATAATTTGTTGGATTATTTATTAATTCGTTTAATTAAACCTCTTTTTAGCATGTATTTACTCTATTCATTAAATACTTGAAATTCATATGATGTTTATCAATAAAATTCCCATAAAACAAGCTATCTTTATACGAGGAAACTTCGGGTTTTTATGAATATCCTGTGATGATATTGCTGTAAAGAGTTTCATTTTATATGAAAGTTCATGATAAAGGGATTCTTAGGTCGATCTCACCAAAAACCGGTGGCGGATTCCCGTATTAAATCCGA